TGCAATTTTGTCGAAACAATATATTTGAACGAAAGGAACAATGTAAATTACGAACCAATTAGTATTTTACACAAGTATTCCATCCTATAAGTTCATATTAAAGGTGTTTTTAACCAAAAGACACCCTAGATCAACAGATGGCCTTGTATAACAGTTTAATTAAAAATAGTATGCCCATTTTCAAGCAGATTGGCTTTGATATGATCTAGATATTGCGGTAGTTATAAACTAAGTATAGCATCACGTGCGGGGCGAGAATAGGTTTGTTCTCCTTCAAACGGGTTACAACATAAATCAGTAACAAATCAAATCCTTTATAACCACTTAGTGGGATCATAAAAACTGCACCAGCCGAGGTTACAGCGGCCTAGGAGCAATAAAGCTTCAAGTAATGGCGGGCGAGCCGGATAGATATAATGTTCTTTTCTCATTTCACATGTTATCATAATATTGTAAGTAACATTTCACCCACCCGTTAAAGGAACTGCTATATTTCTTAAGATCTTTTATTTCTGCGGGAATATTGTAATCTATTTCTCATTTGTCAGCCATCATAAAGACTTCATGAAATATCGCCATTATGGGTTTGTTTTCCTCTTGCTCATTTGATGTATGAATGTTAAATCGAAAGTAAAGCGAAAAATTCGATTATAATAACATAAATATATCATTCAGGTCTCGTGGATGGAACGGGCCATCCAAACGTCTGCTCTCACGATAGCGAGAACGAAATCCGTCAGAGAAAACTCAGACAAAACACACAATTGACAACAGTTTCTGTGTCATGATAATAAATCATTTAAAAGCAAAAGGGAGTGAGTTCAGTACAGAGACGATCTATAGCGTAGAGTACTTGTACGTAAGGGAAATGTACATTGAGTTACATTTTACAGCTATGAAATAAGTAAAGCGGAGTAAAGATTTATCACCTTTTCATACGAAAACCATGATAGATACATCCGTAAGTAAGAGGGGACAGGCTTCAATATTTTAAGTATCCACAATATTAAGATCTTTATCTATTTTATTGGCCATATATTTTATGCAACTTACCGCTTTTTAACATTAAAGGAATACGGTTATGCTACACACTGATGATGTTTAACGCGCACGTGCTTGGCGAGGAAGGTTCTCACGTGATATGAAACATGTGACGACATCAGATGTAAACATATTGTGACTGGGTCAAGGATACATTACGTGCATGTGCCCAAGATAGAACGATCACATATGACAACAAGTTAAAAAGAAACTTACATGCTAACATGTACAGACTTTTCATGTCGACTTATTTAAACCCACCAACTTATTGGAAATGCCGACATGCACGTTTGAATAGAAATAACACAAATAGATTAGATGTGCATCCGAAAGCTCACAGTTAAATCTTTATTTTTTAAAGTGGCATCCTCTTCTGATACAAATGCTTTTGATCGCCATGACTTTTAACCTGGCGGTAGGTTTTGGTGTGAATTGTAAAGTAGTGCTAAGCTCAGACGTTGACAGGTATAGACGGTTAAATTTGGAATTCTTACAAGCAGTACATGTATAAGATACAGATATAAAGTGAAAAGCTAAAAGCATACTTACACAACTCTACAGCTGAAATGCAACCCTCATGCATATATAACGGATTTATAGGAAAACTGGAGACTTCCGAATTATAAGCAAAACCGTTTACACGGATTCCCTCAAATATATACACTCCAGAAATAACTCACAGAAACAAATCCAGGTAAGCCCAGGTGCTCCGGAAGGGTAAGCGTCTTTTGCATCATCGACGACACCCGTCAATTTAATCTGATTCTAACCCTTTCACCACTGTGGACCATAATGTACTCATCCAGATCAATGCATGGTAGAGTTTACTAAAGTTACATGTACATATGGGTGAAAGGGCTAAACCAAAGTAATGTCACGTCGTCAAAGTGAGAATTGGGGTATTGACTACGAAAAAACAACTAATGAGTCAAAATTCGCTAAACACGTACATATCGTACAACGAAGGAGGGTTGTATAAAGGTGATTTAATCAATATGGACGGACTTTCTTACAGCTAACCATTTTATCAACGATTAGACGAAATGAACCATCAACTCGGTTTACATGAAATAAACATAAATAAACTCCAAACAGTAATCTGTTGAACCTAAAAGTTGTAAATAGGTTAAATTATTAATAAAAAATAGTCTAATTTAGCTCTATTTCTTAATATGTGTCAGAATACTTGGATTTTTTTTTCTGTTGAACTTTATTACGCATTTAAGACTATTACATACGATACACATATACATATCGTAAAAAGAAGCAGAAGGATGTACTTAAGGTGATTTACAGACCCGTTAAATAAATAGATTTGATGGCCTTTCTTATTTACAACTACAAGATACAAGATACAGGATACTTTAGTTAAAGTCGCATACATGTAAACAAATAACATTAGCTCTTCAGAGCTATTATTGCGACACACATATGTCAAATAACAATAACACGTTATATCACAAGTAAAGCAAGATAATCGCATATATATTATTATCAAAGGAGTTTAAATATTAATAAAAAGCAATACCAATTATCACAGAAAAAGAAAGTATCATATCCCAGGTTTTCTAAATGATCGGAAGTCCCCTTCCTACAAAGGCCCCACAAGCTAGCCCTTGTTTCCACGATTAGACGAACTGAACCACCAACCTGGTTTACACGAAATTGCACATATTGTTTAAACATTGGTTTTTCTATAGAACCAAAAAGTTTTAAATGTGTAAACTTATTAATAAAAAAGTCCAATTTAGCTGTATTTCTTAATATGTGTCAGAATACTTCAAATATGAATTTTTATTCTCTTGATCTTTGGAACGCATCCGACTGATCCTATATGGACGAACTAGCTATAGGTTACAGTAAATGCTTACACTGCATGCCTTACAGAAGAGGAGCACCCTTATTTCAAATTTTGTAGAGAATAATTTTCTTGAAGTATATGGATATTTGATTTAAATACCTCGCAAATTCATATAGAGACACTATTACTGAGAATCATAGCTGTTTCTTTCGCGAAGAATTTAAATCTTTCAACGGCAGCGTTATACCAATATTAGCCTTAACGTGTCTATTGATCCTGGACATCCAAACGAACTGGTGTGTTTGTGATTTGTTATATGGTGGACCAGTAGTTCTGGCGGGCCCGCACGAGGAGCCACATTTCCCGTTACCAGTAATCAATGTACACGTGCATTACTGGCCCCTAATTAACTCCAAAGGTGACAATTGGTCAATACGATGATGTTCTATCGCAGTTATTAGGGCGGCTAGTATTGACCACTGCCACCAAGGCCGTCCATGATGTTGGTGTAAATCTATCTTCTGTATTGTTTTCGAATGTGTGCTTGCATAACAGGTTCTGGATATTAACTTTGGATCCGATACCTGATGTTACATATATATATTTATTATATATACCACTCCTTATCTTATCTACCAATACTTGATATATATGATACTCCACGTCGCATATTTTCATGGTATATATATTTGCGTGAAAAATATCTATAGGACACATAGCCATTCATATTTTCGATTAATATAGTAACATTTGCTATTGTTTATTCTTGAATTCAAATTTTCATGTACAAGGCATTTGAAACGCTGGTATAAGGCTGAATAGGTGTGTTGGTTGTTTTATTTTTGTTTATTTTTGTTTAGGGTTTTCGAGGTCCCAACTGTAACACTTGTGCCAGTAGTGTTTTCAGCACTTCTATGTCCCCTTAGCATAGACAAAGGAGAATTCCCTGTCAAATACAATAAAAACAGCGGTAGCAACATAAACAACGTACATGTAAAGAGCAGCATCAGCATAAGCAACATCACAAACCACCAAAACAACAGCAACAGCAACAGCAGCAGCAGCAACAACAACAACAACCTGCAAAACAAATAACAGACTACAAAGAATACTATCAAAGGGAACAGATATAAATCTTGCAATTAAAAAGAAGTTCGATAATGTTGTCTTGATTCATTCAAGAAAAAAGAAGTTCGAAAATGTTGTCTTGATTCATTCAAGAAAAAAGAAGTTCGATAATGTTTTCTTGATTCATTCAAGAAAAAAGAAGTTCGATAATGTTGTCTTGATTCATTCAAGAAAAAAGAAGTTCGAACACGCTGTCTTGCTTTTCTGTAAATAGACATATGTACAGTGTCAGGGTGTTACACTATGATAGTGTTAGGCCGGACTAGATCTGATGACTTTCCCACTTCCATGTTCCCGTATCTCTGACACTTGTGTAACTGTTGCCATTATCAATGCTCCCCGTCATCTCGCCTCCTTCCTACACAATAGCGGACCCAGCGTAACTAAGGACTGGACGTACACAGTAACAGTCAAGTCAAATAACACAAATACGGACAGCTCCAGCGTAACTAAGGACTGGACGTACACGGTAACCGTCAAGTCAAATAACACACAAATACAGACAGCTTGATAGCTGGAAAATAATCACAACAAAGAAGTAAGGACGCAAATATTGAAAGCCAAACAAAAAGTAATCAGTTTTTGTTCATTTAGGACTCATTACAACTATAAGGCTACCTCAACCTCGGGGACTGATGGTCTATCGGAGTCAACAGCCATGTGCTGTAAGATAATCACAAGAAATACGAAGCAGGTAGCGTATTCCAAACAGCCTCTAAATTCAGAGGTGTGTTGGCGTATAACAATACAGACAAATATGTAGTATGTAAAATCCACCTTCATCTTTCAAGATATAAGATGTGGAATCTGGCAGATCTTTGAGTCCCCGAGGTTTGCTGTAAACTCGATCGCCACAGTTATCTCGTTTGACTTGTGGCATGGTTTATAATTTTGAATTAACCAGTTCTCCTATACACTTTTTAATTTATAAATTAGGAAGTTTTACGCACCTGTCAGTCTGTTTAAACAGTAGTTTAGACAATATGGATTACCAAGGTTTTGGTCCCTAACACCACCGTTGAGTCCTGTAATGAGGAAACAGCTGTATGATGTTTGGTCCCTAACACCACCGATGAGTCCTGTAATGAGGGAACAGCTGTATGATGTTTGGCCCCTAACACCACCGAGGATTCCTGTAATGAGGAAACAGCTGTATGATGTTTGGGCCCTAACACCACCGATGAGTCCTGTAATGAGGGAACAGCTGTATGATGTTTGGCCCCTAACACCACCGAGGATTCCTGTAATGAGGAAACAGCTGTATGATGTTTGGCCCCTAACACCACCGTTGAGTCCTGTAATGAGGAAACAGCTGTATGATTTTTGGTCCCTAACACCACCGATGAGTCCTGTAATGAGGGAACAGCTGTATGATGTTTGGCCCCTAACACCACCGATGAGTCCTGTAATAAGGAAACAGCTGTATGATGTTTGGCCCCTAACACCACCGATGATTCCTGTAATGAGGAAACAGCTGTATGATGTTTGGCCCCTAACACCACCGATGAGTCCTGTAATGAGGAAACAGCTGTATGATGCAGTGTAATTCATTATTGACCAACTTTATTGATTACTAAATCTTAAAGGTGTGTGTTACGTATATCTCTCTCAATATCTAGGAACTGTGAGTTGGTTGAAATCTTTATACAAATTTAGACATTTTGAAATCAGATTTTTATTTCTAAATAAAAATACTGTAAACGTATGAAACGGTATTCTAATTAAACACTTTTTGCGCTTTCAATCTTGCGCTTAATTATGACTGCGCTTAATTATGACTGCGCTTAATTATGACTGCGCTAATTAAACCTCCTGTTTATAGTTTTATATTGTATATATTATGAGCGCCTATCTGTTAAAATTCAATAATTAAATTTGAGACCGCTAAAATAAGTTCTTTTGCAGTATTCTGAGAAGTGGTTTTCATGGTAAAACGGGTATATGGATTATCTCTCTTCATATTTTTCGAATAGTAAAGAACATGGGTGTTCTGGTGGTGCAGTTGATAGCGCACTCGCCTTTCACCAAGGCGCCCGGGGTTCGATTCCCAGATCGGACGTGGAAAGGTATGGGGTCACCTGCCCGATCACGCGGGTTTATCCGGGTTCTCTGGTTTCCTCCCACATTTAGACCCTCCGCGTGCTAACATCCGGGCCAACAATAGTGATTAATATAAGTTGAAATAACTTGTTTCATAATTATTGTAAAATGAATAAAGTTTATATTAAATAATATATGTTTGGATAACAGACGATACTCTTAAAGACATAACAAGCCAAATTTTCCGGTATGCCTTTTCAAATAGGTAATCCAACCCTCTCTTTTAGCATTCATCATTCCCCGACTCCGTCTTGAACTCCGATTCGGAGGTAGAAAGGAGGCTGGGGCAGCTATGGCAGGCATAAGTCGATAACCTTTTCTAAAACAAGGTGTCCTCGATCTGGATAAACCGGCAGTCAGCGGTCGTAACGGCACGAATCGATAAGCTCTTTAATTGCGGGGTCGCGGGTGTCTGCGTTTGGTAAACGCCAGTTCTGGACACGAAAATAATAGATAAGTATTGAATAAAACACAATACATCGATGAGTAAAATACAGCGTAAGAGAAAATATGATAAATAAATGAATGGTTTGTCATTTGATATGTATCGTGCCTTTTTGCTTTGTTTCTCAGGCCGAGGTCTAGCTGTATAATGCATACTTAGTATCATGTCCTTGTCACACACTGTAATCTACACAGGGCTAGTCACGTGTGATCCACAACAGGCACCAACTCTATGATGTTAAAAACATATTTGAATCTCAGAATATTAAACTTCAATCAAACATAACTTTGTGAAGCAATAATTAATTTTAAAAAAACAACAAGCGAATGTGTGAACACAAAATCGATCAAACTAGGATAAAAGAATAAAAAATCTTTTTAAAAGAAAGTATTCCATTAGCGTCTTCCAAAGGCGACTTAGGTCGGGGCCTGGCAGAATCAGGGGTTCTCCACTGTTTTCGTTGCTATGGAGATATTAGTGTGACCAATTATTGGTACAGGTATGCTGCTTACTTGTCACCTTTTGTAGGGTTTGTTCTTTTTTTTCAAAAATGGCGAAAACATGATAAGCCGAACACTTTAACTTTTGCAATATTTTACATACGGGATGAGTTATTAAAGAATTTTAACACAAGAAAACATTACCAACAGTGAGTCTACGATTTGTTGATGTTTTGAATTGTGCTATTAAGTTTTTCCAAGTTATGGCGGGGAACGTCGATCAAAAAATAGCAAAGGACACTTACCCTTCCGAAACACCCGGGACCGTATTCATGACACCGTTCTCATGCTCAAGCTTGGGAATTGTGCTCAAACCAACTTTCTTGTTACTTGCTTAAATCATGTGACATGGTCAGATAGTCAACTGGGGACATTAAATATAGAATGCGGCTTGCAGTCTCTCCAAAATTCTTCCAGAAATGTTGTCAAAATGATATTTTTAATTAATTAATAACCAGTACAAGAAATTGGGCTTGAGAACAGAATTAGAGTTTGAGTATGAGAGCGGTTCCATAAATAACCCTTGTCTAATTTACCTTGTACTTTTTCGATGGTTGCTTTGTTATTACTTTGCCTTAGTTAACATGTCAAAGCTGATACGGAATTGAATTAATTTTGTTTGCCTTTCGATATTCTCTGGTTAGATCGCACAAACAGACAGCGAGGAACGTTACCCTGCTGAATCGGGATCAGCCTTGTGAAGACATTGTTACTGAACTGGAGAATTAATTTAAAGACCTCGTAAGCGGCACCATCAACACTTCTGACGTGTTCTTTACTATAACGCACGGTTACAAGTGCAGCTGTGTGCACTCACCGAGGACATGCAAATCAGTATACATGCATTGAAATAACAGTTAAACGAAACCGAATACTCCTTTCAAACACCTAACTGAGACGGATCAGTATTGTGAAACAGGTATTTCTACTGCAAATTGAGATGTATGCAGTGTACGAGAGCTCTGGATGAGGCTATTGGAGGTCAGTCGAAACGTGTGCTCCAACACTAAACAAAATGTGGAGAAGAGAATAGAATATCCTTACCCCGGCTCCTCTTTAGCATATATAACCATTAGCTCACAGAGACACGAAGACATAACCATACACCACTAGAGGGGGCGGGGGCAATGGTCACAACTAGGGGAAGCCCAGTAAGCTTCAATGGTTAATTCAATGGTAAATCGTAACGTTGCTAGTCCGTTATCTTTATTGAATCGAGATAAGTTATCATCATCAAATGAACTCACTTGACATGTTACATAGATATTGAATATATATATTAAATAATCATTTAAAAAAGAATCTTTAAAATTGTTGCTGCGTAATATATACAATCTAACCAAACTTTGTCATTTCGAGTTTTTTTGAGAACAATTAACCATATAGACCACCTATAGAGTAGAGGACTATTCAGCTTAATGCATCAACTTAAAACAGCTCCTTTGTTAGGTGTGAGATTTGGCGTCTAAAGACGTGATACAGAAACCATTACTAGGCTGAGCCGTAAATCCGAGGATTATTTTACTGCATCACCTGCAACAAAAGGTAGTTTTTATTGGTCGATTGAGTGGTGGGAGTTTGGAGGTCTGAACCTTACGTCTACCATGCATATTTGGGAACAATATAAAAGGTGTTGTAATCAAGTGAGTACCAGTTGACAGACTGTCCCACGAGCGTGTTACTGGCTCTGGTATTAAGAAACTTCTTATCTGTGAGAAGATCTTTTTGAATTTTATATTTTCTAATAATTTAACAGAAATAGATCATCTGTATGTCATTTATTCTTGTACCTTTTCTTTTAACATTTGAGGACATATTGCCATTGTAATGAACTTGATTTCAAGAATTGAGACAAAAGACGATTTGTGGTTAAGGGCCGTATTCATGAAACTATCTTCATGCTGAAACTCTGATTCTGTGCTCTAGCCCACTTTCTTGTTCCGGTGATTAATCAATAAAAATCCACATTTTTGCAATGAGTTACAAAGACTGAATACCATTTTCAATATTTACACTTGACCTTCTGGCGCCGTGTCACAGGATTTAAGCGAATTACAAGAAAGCAGATTTGAGCACAGCATTCATGCTTGAGCATAAGAACAGTTTCATGAAAACGGTTTTTTTCACAAGTTGCAGTTTGTCGTGAGTCTAGTGTATCAATATAATGCCTTTAGTAAAGACGACAAACATACGTTATCCGTCCTCATCCTGTCTGTATTATGTCCGGTCAAAATACGCCGAATTCTTTTGATGGACAAAACGTCTTTCTTTCGTTATATTTATCAAACATATGGTTTAATTAATATTTAATCCCATCTGGTCATTACATACATGTTCAAAATTATGACAAACAGTCATGTTGTTTCACTTTTTGTTTTGGTGTCACCCGGACCATGGTTATCACTATATCGATTTTTTCTTAGACAGACTCTTCGTTACAAACGAACAATGATATGTATTAGAATTTGAATGTTTTGACAAGTTAGAATGTACAATCGTGAATATACTATAATTATATCGGTAAATGTTGCCCTGTTAGATATGTGCCCTTTAACGATATAATCCATAATCATCCAATGTTCACTTCGCCCTTTACAAGGCCTTACTATTTATGGTATTGTATGTACAAATTTTCGATACCACAATAAGCTCGCCCTTATTACGGTTTAGCGAAAATGACGGAAACTAAACTGCGGCAAAACTTCCTCGTTATACAATAGTTGTCAAATGATTCTTCTTGTTCATGTTTGTTATCTTTTATTTCCATGTAGAATGTTTAACCTCAAGGAGTCTGTAATCTTTTGTAATCAGCTATCTTAATCAAAACATAAACAAACTTTGCCCTTGTAAGTTGGTGCTAAACGTCATTGCCTTCATTTATACGTCGTGAAGGGGTTAATACATCCACCGAAACCTTTGAAACCTCGACTGCAATCTTTGACGCGAGGTCTAACCTTCGGTGGTTTTACACAGCAGATCAGAACTCATAAAGCCATTTTGATGCGCCTATTATAAGGACTTGTAACAGTTATGGTGTGGAAACCAGATCACAAAGAGACCTCCTGAGTTGTTCCATGTGATTATCCTGGTAGATTTAGATTCTGTTTCTAGACTTCGGTACAGCATATATATGTATGATAATAGATAGGAATCTGGAGAAAAGCGTGCTTGTTACCCGTCTTGTGCTGGTGAACACGGGGTCAGCTTAAAACGTGACAGAACAACACTTAAACACCTTAAGTTTGATCTTGATACAGATTATGTGATAATGGTTTGTTTTAAGACGTAGATGTGTGTTTAGATTCCTCCGTGTTTTTTTTTTTGACGGTATCAATGCTCTGTAAGACCTCTAATTTAGGCGCAATTAACACCAAACTGTTATTATTATTAACTGACTTAAACTTCACGACCCTTCCTCGGACTTGTCGACACCGACGTATATATATAAACATATAATGCTGGAGAATCCTACCTTGTAATGACTAGCCGTGGCGTTGCTTT